AAGGGAGCTGGGCATGTTTAGCCTGGAGAAGAGGAGGTTAAGGGGTGATTTGATAGCCATGTTCAAATATATAAAAGGATGTCACATAGAGGAGGGAGAAAGGTTGTTTTCTGCTGCTCCAGAGAAGCGGACACGGAGCAATGGATCCAAACTACAAGAAAGAAGATTCCACCTAAGAGCTGTTCGACAGTGGAATTTGCTGCCAAGGAGTGTGGTGGACTCTCCTTCTTTGGGGGTCTTTAAGCAGAGGCTTGACAACCATATGTCAGGAGTGCTCTGATGGTGTTTCCTGCTTGGCAGGGGGTTGGACTCGATGGCCCTTGTGGTCTCTTCCAACTCTATGATTCTATGATTCTAGGAACGGTTGAGGGAATTGGGTATATTTAGCCTGGAAAAGAGGAGACTGAGAGGGGTAGGATAGGCATGAAAGGAGATTCCAACTAAACATCAGAAAGAACCTTCTGACAGTAAGATGTGTTCAACAGTGGAACAGACTTCCTTGAAAGGTGGTGGGCTCTCCTTCAGTTGAGGTTTTGATGCAGAGGTTGGGTGGCCATTTGCCAGCCACCACAAATTGACAACAGGCTTTTCTCAGTTCAACAATTCTGGGGGGGAAAGCACAGAATGGGCTTCTTTTCCTAAGAGAAGGGTGAGTACATCTGGACTGCATCTTGTGACGGCTCCTCCAACCCACCTCAGTTCCTCTACAAATCTTACGCTAGCCTTTGGTCTTACATTGGTCGTGTCTGCATGTAATTCATGGTTTAACCCTACATGGATGAGCTGCAGTGATCCCAGGCCAAGTGTTGGGGTTGTTTGCACCCCTTTCCCCCAAAACTCTTCTTGCGTAGCCACAAACAGGACTTATGCAGAGAGAAGTTTCACTTTCAAAGACTGTAAGCTTTGAACCAAAAATCCTGGTTTAAAACAAAAGCTTGGCTTAAAACCAGTTTTTATATCAGCTGTGTAGGAGACACTGGCCAGTCTATCCCCAAACAAACCCAAGGGGGCAGGACCTTACATATTAAAATGTGATGAGTAAGTCAAGAGAACCAAAATACTGAATTAAAGCAAAGGTGCTTACAAATGGCCTGCTTATTGAACATACAACCTGACTTGTTTGCAGGGAGATCAGACAACATTGGCTATTTAATGAGCATTCATTCTGTTCTGTTTGTGGGGAGGATAGATGACACTGCATCAAAGCAAGAGTTATCTCACAGTTTCTGTATTGCAAGAAGTTTGGTCTTTGGAGGAAGCAGGTTGTTGCAGAAGACCTCCCAATCAACTACAATTGCACAGCCTGAATTTGCCAGCATGTGACTGAATCCTGCCTGAATACAGTAACAGTTTCAAATGACTTGAAGGGGGGGAAAGCTCATCTATGGACTGTGTTCCTGCAAAGCAGGGGGAATTCTTCTAAGGTCTCCCTAAAATACACAATTAAAAACCAAAACTAAAAACTAAAGGTGACCTCAAAAAAAATGAGCAGATCTGATGGAAGAAAATTTTTTTTTGCATCCTAAAGCAAGTTATTCCTGATTTCCACGGGAAGAAAGCTTTCATGAGCTGAAGCTCTGCGAAAGGAATACAACTCCCTGAAAGGCCTTATTTGGTAATAGAGCAGCAACGTTCTTAATCTTCTATGGGTCACAAGTCAAAGGAGATGAAAGGTGCCGTTTACGAAGGCTAATGCTACATTTATTTTTCGAAAATTCAGGAGGCAGCCACTTCCCATTTGCCTCCAGGAAAATAGAGGGCACCAGGAGAAAAGGGTGGTGGCGGAATAGAGATGGAAAAGAAACTAAAATAACATTTATCTTTAGTGGTGATTGGCATCATTTCTCCTTTTATGTCATTCTTATAAAGCAATTCAAGAATGGTTCTGAAGATCATAAAATGTGTGTTAAAATGTCTTGAAGCTTTCACTGGGCAAAGTGGAACTTTGGCTCAATTGCAAAACAAACAGGAGGATATTTAAAGGGCAAATCAAATGCAGGTCAGTTACTGCACTCGACTGCAGCCAAGCAGGGTCTATTTTATAAAAATGTAACCAGATACTGATCATTTGCATAGGTTATTTCGTTTAAAAATATGGAAATTTAAAAGTAGGGGCAGAACTATACAACAACAACAGATGGCAGATTTTAAAGAAATGATCAAGTTGTCTGAAAGCTAAACAGGTGGCTATGCTTGTTAAGAGACATTAAAAAGTTAGGGAAGAGAAAGGGTAGATCTACACACAGGGAAACACCCCCCCCCCTGTAAATAAGTCTTAAATCGTTATAACAAAAGAAGAAAACACTATGTAAAATTGCATAGTAAATTTTTGTGCTCTACAGTGCCATCTGGTGCTGCATGTTTATAATGCATTCAAAATGCTGGTTTCTGACTAATGTAGCTGAGTCCATAATCTACTGCCAAGACAACATTTAAACAAAGGGCAGTGAAGCCTCTGGTCACCTTATCAAGAACCATTAATGAAGTAATTAAACTGGAGGTCTCATCTTTATTTTATTACAAGCAGAGGAGGTCCTTCATTGGGGCAGAGAGACCCTCTGCCAGCGCCCACCATCACTCTACCTCTACCATATTCAGCCTCCCCACCACCACGAACAAGTCAGAGGTTACTTTTGCACTTGCATGTGGTCCAGTCTAATTTGTTTCTTCTTCCTGCCATGGATGCATCTGCGATCTCTCTTCAGCATCTGTGTCTCCTCCGGCCCCTGTATACAGATACCTGGGCAGTGGGACAGGACACCACTATCCCCATGTATAATAAACTCTCCAGACTGCATGGCAGTGAGGAACACTCTGCTTCGCTGCTCAGTTTTGCTATGAATGAATGGTTCTCCTGAGCCAATCAGAAGACAGTTGTTGATTTTTAGTAGGGCGTCTGTGAAGGTCACCCCCAGCCAATCCAGTTGCTTCCTGCTGTTTTTAAATATACATTTTATTAAGGCTTTCCAAAATGCAATACAATAAATAACTAATCTAAACAAAAACAGAGGGGGGAAAAGGATTATGCATTCCTCCCCCCCCCCATGGTTTGAACTGTGGAAAAATGGCATACAAATAAAATTACAAATGTATGTATGCAACTTGTGCCTGCTGAAAGGTTGTCTTCTGTATAACCCTGTCCTCTTTTACACCTGGCCACTTGAAAAAGAGGTACAGTGGTACCTCGGGTTAAGTACTTAATTAGTTCCGGAGGTCCGTTCTTAACCTGAAACTGTCCTTAACCTGAGGTACCACTTTAGCTACTGGGGCCTCCCACTGCAGCTGCGCCACCGGAGCACAATTTTTGTTCTCATCCTGAAGCAAAGTTCTTAACCTGAAGCACTATTTCTGGGTTTCAGGTCTGTAACCTGAAGTGTATGTAACCTGAGGTACCACTGTACTGATATGCAGCATGATCAGGTCTATTCAGATTGCAGCCTGCGCTCCCTTTTCTTGAGCAAGTTATTTCCCTCCAAATCTCACCACTTTGCCATCTGTGAAGTGATCTTGGGAACCATTTGTGGGACCAGCAAACTGGAGTGGTAGGTTCTCATATGCGCTCCTGCAAACTCCTCCCCTCCACAAAGCAGATGATTTTAACTATGGCATCAACATTAACTTTAACCACAGACTAGGCTGTTTTCACTGCTAAACCAAATGGTTGCAATGTCTGGCTTCAAATCCCAATGAGGGACAGGATTTTAGGAGGCCTTGCATAGGATGTAGAAAGCCAAACAGAGGCTTATGAGAGCTGCAAAAGCTGGAGCTCTGGATGCAATTGGGATGCCTGCCATGGAAGTATTAATATTTATACCAGAAGCACTTTGTAAAACCTCCTTATCTTCTTTTTTGACAGCTGCTGTTCATAAAACTAAAAAGGCACCACCTCTTTTTACGAGTGGATGATGGGCTCCACCCATCACTAGGCACAAGATTTCCACAGACACTGTCCCAAAACATATGCACACTGACTTGGGCGTAAATCTGGGCTTACAGCTGCGTAGACGTCAGTAGGATTGCATGGAAATTTACTTATTGGGTGTCTTTGAGCAACTATGATATAAAAGCACATCTTTGTGCATCAAGAAATGCATTAGCATCCCAAACCATCCAGGACCTGATTCCTTCCTAATTAAAACCAAATGTTCAACACCAATGAAGCTAGATTTAAAATCTGAGGTTCTTTCAAAGGAATACTGAGACTTTTCTGAGGGAACAGGTAATCTTTGTCAGATTGGGTATGTGTCCAAACATGTCAAGGTTATATTGCACTGCCCACGGGACTGCCTTTGAAAAACATGCACATAATTTCTTCTCCTTCTGTTTGTGAAAACATTCACAAATTTCAAGATGAGACACTTACTCATGAACAATGCCCTGCTGTGACAATGCCCTACTGTGTCCCTTTCCCCACTGTCCAGGGCGATGCTATGTATCCTGTATATAATAAATACTCTTGCAAGGCAGCTTATAAATATTTTAATTTTTTTTAAAAATGAGAGAAAGGAAAAATATGCACCTGTCCAGCCAACATTTTTACTCTATGCAGACAACTGGCATGTGGAAATTATATTTTTCTATATCTTAGCGAAGGTGATGAGATTGACTGGTTCCACTGCTCCTGGTTTGGGACTGAAGCTTTTTGATATTGTTTTCTGTTTGCTCGTTTTTATCAATACTTAAGTTATATGTTGGACGCGGGTGGCGATGTGATCTAAACCACAGAGCCTAGGGCTTGCCGATCAGAAGGTCGGCGGTTCGGATCCCCGTGACGGGGTGAGTTCCTGCTGCTTGGTCCCTGCTCCTGCCAACCTAGCAGTTCGAAAGCACATCAAAGTGCAAGTAGATTAAATAGGTACCGCTCCGTCGGGAAGGTAAACGGCATTTCCGTGAGCTGCTCTGGTTCGCCAGAAGCGGCTTAGTCATGCTGGCCACATGACCGGAAGCTGTACGCCGGCTCCCTCGGCCAATAAAGCGAGATGAGCGCCGCAACCCCAGAGTCGGCCACAACTGGACCTAATGGTCCCTTTACCTTTAAGTTATAAGTTAAGTAAAACTTATAACTTAAAGGTAAAGGGACCATTAGGTCCAGTTGTGGCCGACTCTGGGGTACCTCGCAAGACGAAACATCATGAAAACATGATGGCAGCCCAATGTTCACTCTTTCAGTTTAATACAGCCCCTAGCTATCTTGTGAGAAAGATGACCGGCAACTCACCACTGCTCCCCCATCTCATCTCTCACTTTTGCTAAACTTTGGAGAAAGTAAGGAGAAAGTAGGTCTCCCTATTGCTGTTTAACATCTTCTCCCATCACAGCACAAACAAAATACAGGCATCCCCTCTCTGCTCAGCCCAATGAATTTGCCAGAAAGCTTGTTGGGTTAAGAGAGGGAAACGGGGGCAAGCGAAAACAGAAGCTGGCCAGAAAGCCAAGTCAACACTCATGGATTCCTGTAGATTCGTGTAGAACTACCATTATTAAAATACAGGAGACCGAAACATCTTAATCTGAGATGTCTGAGATCAAGTCTTTGATTAGAATATTGTTATTTACTTTTCACCCAAGCAAACAGTGCTGTTTCTGTTTGAACTAAGAGGCATGGATAATTAAGACAATACTCCTTCGATAACTGATTTTTTTCTAGATTCTGAAAATACTGGGATGCTACAGGGATTTCTATGTAAACAAACAAGCATTACACACACACACACACACCCCACCCATGGGACAGAACATGTAACCTTGTGACTATCCTCGCTCAGTGCTAAATTGCGGTGCAATCTTACGCATGTCTCCCTGCAGGTAAGCCCTACTGAATTCAGTGGGACTTGTTGCTAGGTGTGTATAGGATTGAAGCCTTACTGTTCCTTTGTCTGTATCAAAGTATGGAGCAGAAGGCTATTTATAAAAAATTAAATAAATTTAAGTTTCATCTTCAGGGTTTAGTGAAAGACCGTTAGCCCCAGAAAAATAAGATGGCTATCTGAAATTTCCTTCTGCTTTCCCCGCCAACTTGCCCCATGCACAGTGGTACTCATTTATTTGGTCTCGCATCTTTTAATTCGCCAGCCCTGCGACACCGATGGAAGTTCCACCCAGTGATCCTTCTGCCCATCTGTTTTCATGTCTCAACGGGCACAGCAGGCATGTTCAAAGGCAAGTGTCAAGCCACCAGGAAATCCTGACAGTTTCTTAAACCTTCAGGGTATCACATACTGCTCAAAGCCAGCCTCTCTTGCGTGGAAAAACAGACCAAAGTATGAAAGCAGGCATTTCCTCCCACCAGTTCAACCTGAACAGGCAGGTACTGGAGTAAATGTCCCAGGACTAATATTGCCCAGAATTAAATATTTTCATCTCTGTTTTGATTTTTTCATTTGACAACAGAAGCAATACTCCTCAAAAGGAGAGCGAATCCTAGTTCTGAAGAGAGGAGGGACCGGGTGAGTCTTCCACATGTTCATTAAAAGTGAGGCAAGGGATTTTCAAAGGCACTTCATTTGGGTAGAAGAAATGTTTAACTGAACGCATTAAGAAAAACAGTAAATGGACAGTCCATCCATTTGCCAAATGATTCTGTTTTCTTACTGAAACTATACAGCATATAGACTGTGTCCCGGGGTACCCTGACATGCCACAACAGAAGAGAAATAAAAGGGCAAGGAAAGGTTCCTGTAGCTTCAGTGTACTGATCTCCAGAGCAGGCTACTCTGCATGATTCATTGCTTTGGGTTTGTCTCCTTCTGCTTGCCCCTCACTAACACTAGGGGCAGACAATCCTGCTTTGGGAGGGGCTGGAACATTGGGTCACTCCCAATACCAAGACCCACAGGCCACATGAAGCAGCTTCCTCGCAGGGTGCAGAAGCAAGGTGTTGGGAGGACAGAGGATCCAGCCTAAGTCTCTGATCCCATCCCTGTCAAGCCCTCAGAACACCCCCTTTTTGGGGGGGTGGAAATTACACCAGCCTCAGCTCAGCCAGGATGAGCAAGTTGCGCTGGGGGCTTAGCACCACTTGAGGTGGGAATCAGCTGGCTGAGCTAGAGATCCGCCACATCCTAACAATAATAATAAATTTTTATTTATACCCCACCCTCCCCAGCCAAGACCGGGCTCAGGGCGGCTAACAACCAATAATAAAAACAAGTTGATTAAAATACAATTTTAAAAAGATTAAAATGTAACATTAAAACATTAGGATGCAGCCTCTTCACAGGAGGAAAAAGGAAAAAGAAAGGGGGGGAGGGAATCAAACTGATTCTAAGCCAAAGGCCAGGTGGAACAACTCTGTCTTACAGGCCCTGCGGAAAGAGATCAGATCCCACAGGGCCCTGGTCTCATGAGACAGAGCGTTCCACCAGGCCGGAGCCAGTGTTGAGAAGGCCCTGGCTCTGGTTGAGGCTAATCTAACTTCCTTAGGGCCTGGGACCTCTAGAGTGTTGCTATTTATGGACCTTAAGGTCCTCCGTGGGGCATACTGGGAGAGGCGGTTCCATAGGTACGAGGGTCCTAGGCTGTGAAGGGCTTTAAAGGTCAAAAGCAGCACCTTAAATCTGACCCTGTACTCCACTGGGAGCCAGTGCAGCTGGAAAAGCACTGGGTGAATGTGCTCCCATGGCAGAGACCCCGTGAGGAGCCTCGCTGCAGCATTCTGCACCCGCTGGAGTTTCTGGGACAGCTTCAAGGGCAGCCCCGCGTAGAGCGAATTACAGTAGTCAAGCCTGGAGGTGACCGTCGCATGGATCACTGTGGCCAGATCAGATCTTGCCATAGGACTGCCCCCCCTCCATTTAGTAAGTGAGCTTCTTTCACATTAATAGCAACACTACTACTCACACCAGGGCTGCTTCCAGGTTTGGAGGGAATTGGCCAAAATGCCCTCTACTTGTCCCCCTCCTCCTTTTCTTGGTCCCCCCTTTGCCAGTAATGGGCTCCGGTGAACCTACCCTAGTCCTTTGGGATAGCGCAGCTGGCAGAGAATGAGAGTCTTAATCTCAGGGTTGTGAGTTCGAGACCCACCTTGGATGGGCAAAAAGACTGCAGGGGGTTGGACTAGATGACCCTCATGGTCCCTTCCAAGTCTATAGTCTATGATTCGAAGATGCCAGGTGTCGATGTTAGTCAACACATCCACACACGTACTTCAAACACCCCTCAGAGTAAGGATCTGTACCACCTCTCGTTCCCAAAAGGCAATTTGTGTCTAGTCACAGGACAAAACAGAAATCCCATCTGCAACCCTGACCTTCTCACCCACCTTCTTTTTCTAAAAGTAGCCATCCTGCAAGGGACGCAGGTGGTGCTGTGGGTTAAACCACAGAGCCTAGGACTTGCTGATCAGAAGGTTGGCAATTCGAATCCCTGTGATGGGGTGTGCTGCCGTTGCTCGGCCCCTGCCAACCTAGCAGTTCGAAAGCACGTCAAAGTGCAAGTAGATCAATAGGTACAGCTCTGGTGGGAAGGTAAACGGCGTTTCCATGCGCTGCTCTGGTTTGCCAGAAGTGGCTTAGTCATGCTGGCCACATGACCCGGAAGCTGTACGCCGGCTCCCTCGGCCGATAAAGCGAGATGAGCGCCGCAACCCCAGAGTTGGCCACGACTGGACCTAATGGTCAGGGGTCCCTTTACCTTTACCTTTAGCCATCCTGCAAAGTAGCTGCCCCGGAGGTTGGTGGCAAACCATCATCTTTCCGTTGAGCAGTCTCAAGGAAATTAGAAACACGGAGCACATTGTGATCACACTCTCTGGGATACACAAATGCCTTCTGGAATAGCACTGAAAGTAAAACACAGCCCCCTACCTCCCCAGATTATGTCTAGCCCATCGGTGTGGAATTTTATGAGCTGCAAAGGTTCCTCCTTTAAACCACTTGCCTATCCTCTCTCTCCTCAATCATTCTGCATCAGAAAACACAACCCTGGGGCCCTGAGGTTAATTGATGCCTATAACTCAAGGGATGAAGTGTGAAACCTCAAAATGCCACTGTATTTCTGACTTCCAGCAACTGACTTCCAGCAACACTTTGACGTCTGACGTCACCCACCACCAGATTCAGCCCTACCCAAAGCCAGTGTGTTGCTCCAGACAAATCACCTAGGAGTTGTTATAAGAATTTTAAGGTCTTAGATATGTAATAAATGTTCATAAATGTACCAAACAAACATGTACATATAAATATATAAACCACATGTCTGAAGCAGCACAGGAAGACAGTCCTGAAACCATTTTGACTCCCAAGCTGACCAAATGTTTCTCTGCAAGGAGGGAGGAGGTGAAAAAACCTTCCCATTGTCTCAGGAACTGGGTAATCACCATTTCAAAGGAATGGGCAGACTACCAGGAAAGGCAATCAGATAAGACAGGAAAAACAACAACATTCAAATTTCTGTTGTAGACCACCTTTTCTGTGATGTATGTATGATGTTTGTGGGGGGGTCTTGGGTTACACCCCTTCTGTGATGTATGTATGATGTACGGAGGGGTGGTCTTGAGCTCCAGGGCAGAGAATTGAAAATGTCTATATAAGGGCAGGCACACCTTGGTTCTGGGTCCTCCTCCTTTCCTGCGAGTGAGGGGAGCACCCTGTTGCAACAGATGAATAAAGATCAGGCTTACTAGCTGCTTTGCTTCTCAATATTCTTTGGTTGGCCTCTGTTATTTTCTCCTACCAATAGGGACGCCACTTAAGGACTCTTTACGGGCTCTTGGATACCCCATAAGGGAGGAAGGCCAGATTTTGTTTACAACAGAGTTAATACAATCCTTGGCCAATAAAGGATGCAACCCCTGTTTTATAGGATATGGCTTCCTTTTAGGAAATAAGCACCTGATGGTGACTTTTATCACAGTTAATTTACAAAGATGTAAGTTGCGCAGGCAATGGTGGGGGTACAATGGTCCAGCCCCCTAAACACTCGATCCAGCCTTCTGAATGCTCCGTTTGGCAGCTAAATCAAAAACAGCTGCTTTTCAGCTCTTTCGGTGCTCACTTGTCCCACTCAGACCAATCAAATTGCTTTCAACCACCTTCTCAGCCTGCTGTTGCAGGAACCCTAACCCTAAGTCTTTGTGGTTTTAGTCAACAGGTGGCCAAGTTGCCCTCTGGGGTCCACACCGCCCTTAAAATAAGCGTGCCGTACCAATTCTGTTTTAAATGGAAGGTTTTGCACAAATCAGCAGCAGAGCACACACAACACTGTATATTCTGCTACTTTTGGGAATAGAAAGAAATGCCTTATTATCAGATCAGGCCATTGGGTCCATCATCTACAAAGATTAGGAATCGCTGTCTGCATTTTCAGACAGGATTCTCTCCCATCCTATCACCTTGGGACTCTTGTGCAAGCAAAGCATAGGTGGTATTCAACTAAGTTTTACTCAGAGTAGACCCATTGAAATTGATAATAATAATAATAATTTATTATTTATACCCCGCCCATTCGGCTGAGTTTCCCCAGTCACTCTGGGTGGCTCCCAACAGATTAAAAACAGAATAAAACATCAAATATTAAAAACTTCCCTAAACAGGGCTGTCTTCAGATGTCTTCTAAAAGTCAGATAGTTGTTTATTTCCTTGACATCTAATGTGAGGGCATTCCACAGGGCGGGTGCCACTACCGAGAAGGCCTTCTGCCTGGTTCCCTGTAACCTCACTTCTCGCAGTGAGGGAACTGCCAGAAGGCCCTCGGAGCTGGACCTCAGTGTCCGGGCTGAACGATGGAGGTGGAGATGCTCCTTCAGGTAGTCATGCTCACTGGTTTCAGTAGGTCTCCTCTGACTAAAACACAGAGTGAATATCACCCTGTGAATCCTACCACTGAGTTAATGCAAGGCAAGGCGCTGGAAGTATAAAAAGTTGGAAAGTCACCACTTGCAAGAACTAGCCCAGTCTAAAAAAGCTTTTGTAAACTAGAAGAGAGTTGATTAATTTCACTTCAACCTGCCAAAGTCGCATCAGCAATTATTAAGATACATGATATACCTGGTCAGGTGGCCTAGTAAAAATAGTCACAAACTAGTAACTTTCATAGGCTTAATCTGAAGGGCTGATTAACTTACTCTTACCAGAAGAATAAAAAATCAAGATAACAAACATTTTATAAAAGAATGGAAATGGTTTATTGAATATTTACAGATAAATTGTAAACAGATAAGAACATTGGCAGGATTATTGTAATAACCTGCAGTTTTATAAGAATATATATTTAAAGTAGGTGAATAAATGAGCAAATTAAGTCAATTTGGATACGCAGAAGATATTGAAAATAAATGTAAGGCACTGCAGAAAGAGAGGGAAGGAAGTCAAGTTTTGAAATGTTTGTAAAATTAGTGAAAGTATAAACCTGAAAAGCATATTTTTTTATTTTTTTTAAGGATTATTGCGGGGGGGGGGTCTGAAGAGCTGAGATGGGGAAGGAGTGACGCAGTTCAAGCATTTTCCCCTTGCAGATATGGCAGCTGGAAAATTTAACGAGGTGAGGAAAAAAGGGTTTGTTTTCATTTCCTCTTAATTCTTGAAAAGCATGTGTTTTAGGCAGTGTAAAGAAAATACTGTCTCCCACAGTATCCAATTTAGCAACCCAATTTAGCAACAAGCGTAATAGTAGGAAGATTAAACTGAACCGTACATCCAGACCTCTCCAGGGCGAAGGGAAGTTCTTTTATGCAAATGTCATATCCTCAACTAAATCTATTTTCTGACGAGAGGAAACACTGCTACTAATCCCAGCCATCTAAAGTTTCCGGATATGGTTCAATTCCAGGGCTGAAACATCTAGGTCATTACAAAGGTCCTTTAAACAAGCAGTCTAATTACTTGTGACTACTGGTGGTTGTTTTTTTTAAGCTACATTTCCATCTCCCACCACATCTCAATCTGTCAGGTGATGCTGCACACTAGATATAGATCAGAATTCCCCAAGCCTGGTGCCTTCCAGATGTTTGGGACTGCAGCGCCCATCAGCCAAGATAGTTATGCTGGAGCTGGAAGCTGTGGTCTGAAAACATCTAGAGCAGGGGTCGCCAACCTAAGGCCCATAGGCCACAAGCAGCCCACAGGGATCATTTAACCGGCCCACGAGCCACCCCCAAACCTAGCCGCCCGCCCAGCAAGACCCTGCATGCTGCGCTAAACCGGCACAGCATGGCGCAGGGACTCACTTCCGTCATGCCAGAAATCATGTGTGCGCAGGCACTGGAATTCACAGGCACATGTGTGATCCGGCCCACAGAGGGATCTCCACTGGAGTGAACTGGCCCAGGCAACGTAAACCTTGCCAACCCCTGATCTAGAAGACACAAAGTTGGGGAAGGCAGATGTTGGGAGTTTGCCTCCAGGGTGGAAGTCAAACCTCTGCATTCACAGCACCAAAATGACCTCCCCAGGGCAGGTCCTGGGCTGCCCAGACGACAAGACCCCTCTCTTGGCCTCACTGATGTGGTTCAAAAGAAAGCAGAGCAACACATTTGGCACCAGCGCGGCTGCAGGAGTTGCTGGAAAGAGGCTTACAAGATGCCATCCAACCGTCTTAGGGACTCCACTCTGGATTTGTGTAGGGTTAATCCTTAGCTGTAGGGGACGCGGGTGGCGCCGTGGGTAAAAGCCTCAGCGCCTAGGGCTTGCCGATCAAAAGGTGGGTGGTTCGAATCCCTGCGGCGGGGTGCGCTCCCGCTGCTCGGTCCCAGCGCCTGCCAGCCTAGCAGTTCGAAAGCACCCTCGGGTGCAAGTAGATAAATAGGGACCGCTTACTGGCGGGAAGGTAAACGGCGTTTCCGTGTGCTGCGCTGGCTCGCCAGATGCAGCTTTGTCACGCTGGCCACGTAGCCCGGAAGTGTCTCCGGACAGCGCTGGCCCTCGGCCTCTTAAGTGAGATGGGCGCACAACCCTAGAGTCTGTCAAGACTGGCCCGTGCGGGCAGGGGTACCTTTACCTTACCTTAATCCTTAGCTGTAGCTGTTTCTTCTCCTGAAGGTATCCTGCAAGGCAGTGGAGGTTTAGGATCAGGGTTTTCCTTCTCCTAGATGGGC